GAGAGAGAGAGAGAGAGAGAGAGAGAGAGAGAGAGAGGGGGGATACAGACAAGCAGACAGACAGACATACATACATACACAGCCAGGCAGACATACATACATACATACAGACAGACAGACAGACAGACAAGCGCACCAATGGACATATTATTATGAAGTTACAGGGTTTCTAGAAATGCTTGTGTTTCTTCTTTCAAACCCTCCAACAAACGATATGATATTCCGTAACTCTCTGTCGATCTGGCATCCCGACACAACCCTTGTGTCCGTCAGAAAGAACACTTGTCGTATATTATCCCAGACAGTGCACTCTGACGTAATTCCGGTTTACTAAAGAATGCACCATTTGACTCAATCCTGAAGCAAATGAAGGGGAAAAAGGGTGAGGGGGAGTGGGAGGGAGAACTAAACCCAGATTAGCGTTTTGCCATTCTTTGAGCATCAGTGATGGTGTGCACGCTTCAAAGCAAAGTTGTAAAAAGAGTAAAGAGCAGTAACTGTTAGAAACTAGAATAATATTATAATTCAAGTAGTCTATAATTATAATATGTCGTGCTTCAAGAAAGAACATTTGTCTTGTGGGTCCTAAACCTTTGAGCACGGACTCTGAACACAGTTTTTTGTTGTTGTTTTTAAAAACTTCTACTCAGAATTTTCTGGTGCGTTTAGTTTAGAGGCCCTTGGGGGAAGGAATATTTCTGGACAAAGTTACTTCTTTGTTCTTTTTTAACAACTCCCTCGAGGCGCATTCTTGACTTGCTATCCTTATATTGCTCCTTCGGAATTGGAACCGAGGGCTCGTCTCGTGTCTTCTTTTTGAGGAGCTCTCTTGAGAAAAAAAATACGTACTTGATCTCCCTTTTCTTCGAATCACTCGTCTGCGCAAATAAGAGCAAGTTTGCTTTGAGCTGATCGTTTGTTACAAGTCTGCCCCTGAGGTCAGCTTTTGTCCTACCCGACGTTAGCCATTCTCCTCCTTTCTCCGCCATTCTCCGCCATCCACTCTCGTGGTGCGTCGTCGTCGAGCCGAATAATTCGCGAGAACTCTTCTTTCTTGGAGGAGAAAGAAAGCCGTGTTTGCTTCCAGAGTCCGTGCTTGTAGATGAGACGACGGGAATTAGCGTCAGGGTAGCTGGGGTTACTCAGATCAGTGTTTTCTCCCCTCACTCCAACCCCCCCCCCCCACCTTTCCAACCACGCTTTCTTTCTTTGTCGTATCACTTGGCTTTTTTTTCCTTTTCAATCCGCTTCATCCCCCATCCCATCCCCACTTCACGCAACTTGCACTGTTTTTGCATAGAATTTCACAGATAAACTGATCAGAACAGACTGGTCGATCTGTCTGGTGGGCGGAAAAGAAATAGAAAACGGAAAAAGGTTGAGGGGGGTGGGGGAGTCTAGAACCACGATAGCCTGTAAAAACATGTTTTAATCTGTGTCGTTGTCGTCATTAACTATAACAGAAAAAGCATGTTTATTTTGGGAAAATCAAAGAAACCTCAAACGAGAAATCGATAGTGAGCCAACGGGGTGTCTGTCGACTAAATTAGATTTGTATAATTGCTGTCTAAAGGACTGCCCACAGATCACTAAGTGCAGTCAATCGATCTTGATGTTGCTGTTTATGCTATTGTGATTGTCTGAGTTAAACGACATTAACGCAAGTCTGCTCTTTCTTACTTTTAGTAAGAGTTACAATTTTTTAAATCTAGCTGCGAGAAATAAGCAAGCAAAATGTACACATGACTACGAGGAAACTATTCTATGACATGATAAAAAGTTCCATTTTTAAATTTTAACTTCCCAAACTAAACCGTCGATAACATAATAGTAATCATTTCCAAAGTGCAAGTTACTATAATATTATTTCCTCTCATGGCCACTTTCATGCTGAGATAATCGAAGTAAATCAAAACACAATT